ATTTTCTAAAGTTAATTTTTCATTTTTAGTTTTTTGAGACAGGGTCTAAGTTTCCCAGACTAAGCTTGAACTTGCAGTCCTCCTGTCTCAGCCTCTCAGAGTGCTAGCATTACAGGTGTGTACTATGCTGGCTTATTGAAATTTGAGTCAAGAATGATCCATAACCATCCCTGATGCCACTGGGTCAGTCTTCACAAGACAATGGTCACTTGCTTCTAAACCTACCAGTGGGCTTCATCTTTGCGTGTCCAAATCAACTAGAGGTCTCTTTCTAGAATCACATCTAATCTGGTCCTGCCAGTGCAGCACAACAGTGTTGTGGCTAGAACATGGGCTCCAGATCTTGACAACCCCTGTTCAATTCCCTCTTCCATCACCTAGGGCTGTGTTGCCTCTGGCAATATACCTAAACTCTGTGTACCTCAGTTTCTCGAACTGTTAAAGGACATGATGGGCACACGTCTCTCCCAGGCTTCTTGTAGGACTTAACACGTTAACACACATAAAGTGGCTAGGTTTGTGGGAAAACCTAGTTTTGTTTAAGGATCTCACACTACAATCTCTTAGGCTACTGATGCTTCTCAGGCCTGGTGCTCGAGGCCACCTGCTAGGAGGCCCTTGCTTAGCTCCCTTCTCCCTCTGCCTTCACCTTCCACCTAGCCAGCTTCCACTTGACCCACCTAGCCTGTCACCTCCGCCCGGACTCACCTCTCCTGTGTCACTCTGGAGATTCGGCCCATCCCACCCCTCTGGGAAGCCCTCTGCGTGATTTGCCACAGCACAGTGGCACACACCAAGTGACTTGCACAGTGTAACTTGCTTTCTTACTCTTCCGGAGGTTGGAAATCCAAGGTCAAGGTGTCAGCAGATTCGGGTTCTTCAGAGCCATTCTCCTTGGCTTACAGATGGTCACCTTCTTCCTGTGTCCTCACATGACCTTCCCTTTGTGCTCTGCAAGTCTGTTTAAATTTCTTCTTATAAGGAAGAATTTCCCTGCCCACCCTAAAGACTAGATCTTAACTTAATCATTTCTTTAAAGAACTTACTCCAAATGACATTATGGAGGTTAGAACTTCAACATCCATTTTTTTTTTTTTTTGGCAAGAGTGCACATTTAGACCACAATATCCTCTGTGACTCTCATGCTGTGTCCCACATCAACAGGGACCCTACAGCCCTTTGTGTGTGTTGCTGTTGTCACCCTCAACCTTGTATGAGGGCAAAACTGCTTCATTCAGAAATATTTATTGAGCATCTACTACGTACTAGGCATTAGGGGACGAAGTAGAGCAGAGAAGGGCATTGTGTCTCTGTCTCCTTGGGGCAGCTTCCTGGAGATGGAGGCAGACACAAATGAGGGTAATGTCCTGTTCTCTAGAGGAACAGAATTAACGGAACATAGTATAATTCTGCAGGGGGATTTATTAGGCAGGCTTACAGGATCCGAGGTAGGAGGACTCACAGTGGTCATCTGTATGCTAGAGAGCTGGATGACCCAGTAGCTATAGAGCTCAAGAATATGGAAGCCTCAGAGTAAGGGGAATCAAGGGTGCGTTACTGGTCTAAGGTCAAAGGCTCGCTGGAGAGTTGCTGGTGGGACTTAGCACTGAAAGCCTGAAGGAACTGGAAACCTAGACTGGTGTCCAAAGGCTGTTGCAGCAAGGGTGCACCCTCTCAGGAAGACTGGGTCCCTTAAAAATGGGTACTTTTTTAACAGCTGTAAATTTTTATTTTTTCAACATGCACACAAAATAATAACTATTTATGCCATTTAAGAACAAAGAAATAATTGTATTATTACCAAAATGTCAAATTATCAAGTGTAACAACAAGTTAGCGATACTTTGCTTTGGGAGGCTATTTTCACAGAACAAAACAATTTTCAAATTATACTTTCGAAACCAGTTATGAGACTAGGACAAGCTGGTAACAATCCTAATGGTCACACAACCTATCGCACAACACAGGAAAAAAAGACTGATTTTATGGCGAAGGGTCTCAAGTACCTTAAAATAGTCCCCCCCCCTTTTTTTTCTTTTGAGACAAAGTCTCACTATGTAGTGCAGGCTGGTCTCAAAGTCATGGCAGTCCTCCTGCCTCAGCCTCCCAAGTACTGAGTGTTGAGATTACAGGCATGCACCACCATGACCTGCTACATCACAGTTTTAAAGTAGTTTTATAACAGAACAGTCTCTCCTTTTGAGGATCCCTTCATTTCAGAGTCTCCTTACTAATTCTGAAAACTCATTTCTAAGGATCGTTTCTGGGACTTCGTTAGTTAACACTGAAAGCACAAAGCACACTTGATGATGATACTACACCCCACCCCTATCATCACCACAGTCCCAATCCCTCAAAGCAGCCCAGCTGGACTTTGAGTAAACACCACAGGTAGAAGAAACTGTACATGAAATTAGCTTAACTGTAACTGGCGACTGTAGCCAGGTGATGGGCACACAGGATCCAAGGACTATCCTTGGTGTTTCTGAAAATCTCCATAACAAAAGGCAAAACAATTTCTTTAAAAAGGTAGACTTCGTACATTTTGGGCAAAAACGAAGACAGTGGTTTAAGATTTTAGAGGCAAAATATCCAGCAATGTAGCATTAATCACCCACATATACAAGGTCACATCTAAAAATAAAAAGGAAGCATCCAAAGTAACATTATTCTGTTTTTGGTTAGTTTCTGGGATGCAAAAAAAAAAAAAAAAAAAAAAAAAAAAAAAAGAATTAAAAAAAACACCAAAAAAAAAAAAATTCACAAAAACCAACCAATGAAAGAAAAGATGCAAAATGCACAAAACTCTAGACTCACTTAGGCATCCTATCAACAACTCTGTTAATGCTCCCTTCCTGACCCTGAAGAAGGTTCTTTGTATCCATCTTCTATCACTGCAGCTTCTCCGGCCTTTCTGTCAGCTTTCCCTGGACCATCCCTTACGAGGATCATGCCTGACCCACGTTTCCTCCAATTTCCCTACTAGCTTCCCTTCACTGTAACCCTCAGCCAAGGACTCCCTCGCAAAACTTAGACTGAGGTCTACTCTCAAGTAAAGGAAGCTAAGGGAGTGCAGATGTAGACCTAACCCTCCTTTCCACCCCCAGAGATGAGGGGAAGGAGGACACAAACTAGCGTGGGCAGGGTAGGCCCAGCACGGTTTGCCCAGCTACTGGAAATAACCTGAAAATCTACAACAGATTCCCATGCCCTAAATGCACCTTGGAATCCTCCATAGTGGAGATAAATGCTTACCTCTGAAGCATCTGAAGGTACAGAACCAAGGACTGTCAAGAGTCGGGGAGCTGGGACTAATGATCCAGGCGCTGAAACTATGCCAAAGGAGGCAGTGAGAGGCCCCTGGATCTTGAGGAACAAAAAGTCAGAGCCAAAATAGACTGTAACCCTAGCAGTGTGGGAGGCTGAGGCAGGAAGATTACAAGCCTGAGCCCAGCCTACGAAACTTAGCAATTTAGTGCTATCTTGTCACACACACACACAAACTTTTTTTTAAAGGGCTGAGGCTATAAGTGCATAGGCCTTGGGTTTAATCTCTAGTGCCAACAAAACAAAACAAAACAAAACAAGGCAAAAAAAAAAAAAAAGGTAGACACTAGTCTACAATACAGTTGCCTTGAATTTTCAACTTCAAAATTATAGATTAGGTGTGCGGTCCAGAGTCTGAACACAAACCCACTTGGCCTTCTGGTTTTGTTGACTATTTCAGTCTAGAATAAGTGTGCATGGAGGTCCCCAGCTGTATGTGCTCTGTATGTAGAAAATACTGCTTTGTCTCTTCTCTGAGCTGTGATACTATTAAAAAAAAGTTCAAAAAAATAAAGGAAGAAAGGAAAGGGGTAGACGGAAAAGGAGGGTAGCAGGAAGAGGAAGAAAGATGGAAAGTGGAAGGTAGAATGAGAGAATGGTCTGGAAGTCAAAGAAATACCATGGAAAAATGAGATAAAGTCAAGTAGACAGCAGTCCACAGAGGAGAAACACCTCCTCCACAGGGCTTCCTTAGGGTACTCTGGTCATGCCTTACAGGAAATTAAGGGAGGCTGACAAAGGTATTAGTTGACAAAGGTGGGGCCCAGGCCCACCTTTGCCTAGTCACAGCATGAAGACAGTGAGCATGCGTCCATACACAGCAGCCCTCCCACCAGTCTCAGCTAGTAGGGTCCTGAAGTCTGGGGAGGGCAGGTGTGTGTCTCAGGCACTGGCAGGGTTCTTGAGCCCATAGGCAGTTCCTGAGGTCCCTGTTGATCAGGAAGCCAATGAGGACCAATAGCAACCTAAACAAAATTAAGAGGTCTGACAGTCACCAGGCTTAGCTAGATATCAAAGGTTCATCAGCAGACATGTCCAGAGACAAGAAGACTCACGTTGGTAGAGAATACTTGGCATACTGTACATCAAAGTTCAGCAGTCACATGCCATTCTGCTGTCCAAAGCTGGAGATAAGGTAAGTGGCATCTTAGTTGGTGCTCCCACACCTGAATGACAATAAATTCTGGCTCATCATATGCATTGGCTTAATTCTTCACTGGTAACGTTAACACTTTCCACTGATAAAAGTGCATGGTCGGCATGAACTTGCAGCCCAGCAAGTCACTGGCCACGAAGTAGCAGAGCTTGAGGATGCTCTGGTCCTCCTGAATAACTTGAGAACGTTTATGTTGAACACAAGCAGGTCAAAAACAGTGTCCAGGCAATGTACAGAAAGGCAGGACACATCTGAAGTACAAGTGCTTAACATACAAACAACAGGGTGAGATTACCTAACACGTGACACTATTGTTAATAAAACAAAACAAAACAAAACACAACACGCAGGTCACAGCAAGGCAAAAGAACATGATCATAAGTGCCATATTCTGGCTAAAGTCCAAATGGACTACAGCATGTAGAAGCCAAGAGGAAGAGAACACAGACAGCCAAAGCACAAATGTAGAGAACTAGGAACAGGTCCCGCAGGAGGCGGTAGGGAGACTCACACAGGATCAATTGGCCGGTTTTGCCCTAGGTGCAGGGGTCTCCCCTGGGTGCTTTGCTGGGCCTGGCCTGCCTGCCTTTGCTTTCTCTCCATGGGCTCTTTCACTCAGAAGGTAGTATTTCAGAGGATTGGGCCATAGTTCCTCGTTGATGATCTCAACAATCTTGTCAGACTCAATAGAAGTCTGGTTTACAAACCACCCGAAGAAGCTCCCGCTCTTTTCTGGGTTTCCCTGAGTCATGGAGTACAGATCGTGCCCTGGGAGCCACTGGATAGGAGTAGAACGAGCAACCACCTGATTGGAGAGCCCACATCCATATTCCTTGATGAGCACCTTATTTTGGAAATAGGGGTTAGGGCCAAAGTAGAATTTGATTTTGTAGCCCAATCGAGCGAGGCCAAGCTCCTCCACTTCCAAGCTATTCAGATAGCTTAGCACCTCTTTATCTTGGCCACTGAGAAAGGCCGAGAGCTGGGGGTGCTTTTGGAACGCTTGCCGCCAAAAGCCTGGGATCTTCTTGATGAGCTCATTGCGGCGCTCCACGAAGGGCAGTCGCTGCTGCCCGAACTTGCGTGAGAGCTTGAGGTAGATCCGGTTGGCCCGCACGCTCAGGGCCTCCAGCTTCAGCTGGACCGTCTCCAGGCTGTCCATGCTGCCTTTGGTCGCTAGGGGCCCCGACCCCGAAGGCGCCTCCACCATTTTCCTTTCTTCCCCCACCGAGCCGGGGGTACACTTCCCGGCCGCCTCTTTCTTGGGGTGCCCACCAGCGGCGCCCTGCGGCGGCCTGCCCGCCGAGCTGAGGCTCTTTTCTGGCACCTTCTTTCCAGAAGGGCCCCGCCGGGGGGCGGCGCGGGGGCCATTTTTCAGCCTCGCCACGGTTCCCACAGTTCCCACGAAGACGGTGTCTGCGGTCAGGCGCTCCAAGCAAGACATGGCCCGGACTGGGCTGGGCTTGGTGGTCGGCACCACGCGGTCCCCCGCGGGCAGAGCCCTGAGCGCGAAGCTGCAGCTGCCCGGGGCCCTGGCCCGGAGCGCCAGGCTGTGGTCCAAGGGCACCCGGCAGGCATCTGGGCCCGCAGCCTTAGGCTGCAGGAGCGGTGCCGGTGCCGGTGCAGGGGCCGGGGCCGGGGCCGGGGCCGGAGCCGCCGCCTTCGAGCCGCCCCCACCCGCGCCAGGCTGCCCCCATGCCACCTCAGTGTCTTCCCTCGCGCTCTGGAACTCTGGCGGACCCAGGTCGTGCGAGGCGTCTTCCAGAGCAGCGTGGAACCGGGCTTTGGCGTGGCCTCTGCCCCGGCTTTTGCCACGGGAGGACTTTCGACCTCTTTTGCGGCCGCCCATGGTGGTAAGCAGACTCTGCTCCACAGCCACGCTCTTCCTTCTCTCCTTCCAGCCAACTTGTGAGCCCGCGTGTTGGGGCCACCCACAACCTCGGGTGGGTTTTCCCTTTTCTGTTTGCTGGCCCACATGTCAATCATGCGGAGATACACCCACCGCTGTGATTTGCTACTCTGCCAGGCATTTCTTTTTTGGGTGGGGTGGGTAGGGGAACGAGTACCGGAAATCAGAAGCGCAACCTCTCCCTTGCCGGACAGGCTGTTGTGCCACCAGAGCTGAATCTTGGGCCCCTTGGTAGGAATTTATTTTTTTGGAGGGGTGTTGGGGAATGGGTACCGGAAATTGAACTCGCAACCTCATGCTTGCCAGGCAGGCGTGTATGCAACCGAGCTAAATCCTCGGCTTGGTAGGCATTTACTCACATGGACAATATCTTGATTAATGATCACAGGCGATGAGTACTGGAAAGAGACAGACACATAGCACTGCAGATGTGCCAGACAGGAGGACACAAACTAGGCCAGGAAGCCAAAGAGGAGCCTGAGGAATGACGTAGTAGGTGACAGCAGATGTCCAATTAATCAGGAATAAAAGCAACAGCCCCCATTTATGAAGCCATTGTAGAGTGTTAGGGTCTGACCTTTACATGTGACATCTTGGGTCACTGCTCATTAAACACTATTGGCCCACTTTTCAGGTAAGGTCACTGGAGTGTTTGAAGGCAAAAGTAATTGCTCAGTCTTGCTAGGAGGACTCTACTCAAATGTGTGGGATGCTGAAGTTATGCCCTTGTATTTGGGGGCCCTGCTGATAGCTCACCTTTAATGTTTGCCTCTGAGCCTATCTTTGTGCTGACCCTGGTCCCATATGCACACCCCAATTCTGCTGTGTTTTGGCCCCACAATCCTGGGCCTTGGGGCAGCCATCTGCCTCCTGCCCATGCCTTGCCACAGGATTGGAATCCCCTTACCCCAGTAAAAGTCACATGCTGGTCAATGGCTTGATTCTTGCAATAGTTACATTGCATTTAGTGCACAGCAATGGCACTGATTTCCCTTTCTGAGTACAGCTGACAGGGTCCAGGATGGAGAATGAGCCTCCTTTCATCACTAATAAAGCTGATGCTGGAGGATGGGCTTGCCTGTGTGGTCACGTGAACTCCAGTGGACCACAGGACTAGACAGGGAAGCCCTCCCTCAGAGAGACCTTAAACTCCAGAATCCCCTGTGGCAGATTGTGGAGGCTGATGCTGTGAAGCCATGGTGGGACGAGCTGGCCAACCATCCTTTCCTGGCCTCTGGAGCTACTCAGCGTCCCTCTCCTCAGTACTTGCGGAATACTCAGCAAGCTTTGCTGGAGTGTGTAATTCATTGAGAGGATGCAGAACACCTGTGCTTCAGACTTTTTTCATAATTACTGGCACTGTGGAAATTGCAGGCATTAGAAACTCGATTGGAAAGGAGGATGATTGTCACCCAGAAAGTTCAAGTGAACTGAAACTCCTGCAGTAAAGCGGCTGGGATTTGCATAAGAGGTAGGTCCAGGCCCATTAACACCATGGTGACAGTAACGTTCTAGAGTTTGCTGTAGAAACTGGGTGAATGGGAGAGAGTGTGGGTGGTGTCAGATGTGATTTGGCAACTGTCTGAGAAATTAACTATCTTTCTCAGAGGTCATGTGGGCTAGCCCTGTTTTCAAGGTCAGACAATATTCCTTCCCCATCACTCCTCACTGTGTTTCACCTCCTAGAGTCAAGACACTTGCTGAGGGTAATGCAGCTGGCTGTGGGAACCTGGGGCCAGACTATAGGCTGTCCAATGCTATGTCTAGCAATCTTCCCACTGCACTTAGTTCTCTCTGTATCAGATTTGGTGCCAAAATTTTGTGCTACCAGCCTATCATTAGGTTGACAGAAAATGTTGTATTGGTCAAATAAGAGCTTTCTTTCCATATACTTGTGAGATCCCCAGAAAACTGTAGGCAGTGTGTGGTGGTGTTCTAACCTCACTGCCTAACACACTCATACTATAAGCTTATCACGGTCACCTGTCACATGCCCAGGGCACAAAGTATTGCCCAGCGCTATCAGCCCTGATTTTTTTTGCTATGTTCCTCACACTGGAAACTTGCACATGAAACCTACCTGCTATACCCAGTCTTTTTAAGATCTACCAACTAAGAGAAAAACAAGGTAATTCGGAATTTTTATTTTTAAAATTTTTGCATTTTGATGCCCCAAATTACTATTGGGCATCAAACGGTGCCACTGGTATGTGAAGCATCATGGTAGGCAATGTTCCACTCTTTCCCCCAGTTAAGGCCTTTGCAATGTGACTGTTTAAAGGTGATTCTTTCATCATGCAGTGGGGTCTCTTTTCCTGTTCCTGGCCAGCTTATGACTTGCTTTTCCCAGTGGAAGATGATAGTGTGCCACTTCTGAGCCTGGGCTCCTGTAGAAGCTTTACATTCTTCCATCCCATCTCTTGGAATTCTACTGCTGCCATGGGAACAAGCCTGGGCTAATGTGCTGGGGGATGAGAGGCCCTGTTACCCCAATGACAGCAGATGCCACTCATCCATTTGAGTAAGACCTTCTAAAACCAGCCGGCTTGAGTTGACCACAGATAGAATAAGCCCAGCTGAAATCAGCTGAGCCTGTCTAGACCAAAAGAACCCCCAGCTATGCCACAGACTCCTGAGCTAGAGAAGTGCTTATTGTTGTAAGCTTTGGCAACTTTAGTGTGATAACAATAACCCTCATTTAACAGATGGGAAAATTGAAGCTAATAGAAGTAAAGAGTTGGCCAAGTTTACCTTGCTACTACTCTTTGAGCTAAAATTTAACCTAGATCTTTTTGACTCCTCTGTCGTGTTTGATGTGACTGAGAAAACATACTAGAGCGGCCGATTAATTGCTTTTCACTTAAGAATGTCACTTTGGTCTTCTTATAATGTAATCTTGAAATAATGCAGGAGAAAATAAGTGCAGTGATTGATTAGTGATGCCTGCCATGGGTGCTAATGCACCAGTAGCAGTGTGAGTGCCATGCATTTCCTTTGTGAGTCTCAAATATAAAGTATGAGAGATTTTGGCAGATGTATCCACATTTGTGCCTGAAGCAGAGGAAGGTTTCTGTGAGAGCCACTTGCTGTTTCCTAAGCTCACCGTGTCGTCTTGCTCTATGCTCAGGATCCTCTGTTTGTCAGTCCTGCTGCCTCCAGTATCCAGCACACCATGACACAGCTTTGTGTGCACTCTTAGTAGGGTTGACAGTCTGATGGAAAGAGATACTGGATAAGTAAGCTTCTCATTTCCAGATTAAAATCAATGGCATCAAACATTTGAATCCTGTCCTTTTCTCAAAATCGACCAAAGACAATGAAAAACTGAACATACAGGAAAGTATTTTTCCTCAATTTTTATTGAAACCAGAAATGATCACAGCTCCAAACCATAAACCCTGAAGCTTTCCTCTGAAATACTGTGACATATAGGGCAGAACATAGAGGAAACTGTGAACTCATGCAGACATCTCTGGTAGGTTTTACATAGAGGAAGCTGAGGGTTAATGGGCTACATCCCAAAGTAAGTATCCTTGGCCTGAAAACTTCAATCAAGAATCACTGGCTTAAAGCACTGAGACCCAGACCAGCTTCCCTAGGGGCTTTGCTGGGGCCATACTGGCTGAAGGAAGAGTAAACATGGAGCTGTATTCCCTTACCCGAGGAATAACTGCTGTGGTGGGACGCAGTCTAAGAGGACAAAGCCACATGCAAGATATGCGTTGCCTGAAATCATCATCCTCTTTCCCACAGTGTCCTGCCACACAGTGCTGGCCTGTTCCAAAAGGGGAGCCGCCTCAGGAGCTCCACAGCCTATGCATCATAACAGAAGCTGCCCAGCGACACAGAGGAAGACTTTGTTCTACACAGTCTTGACCAGTTTAGGCTACCAAACTGCTTCCTTAAAAGAAATATGAAGATGGAGAGAAGTGATTGTAAAACAACTGTATGAGATGAACGTCTAGCTGGCTGTTCTATTAAGTTATAGATAGGAGATGCACACACACACCCAGAGAGAGAGAGAGAGAGAGAGAGAGAGAGAGAGAGAGAGAGAGAGAGAGAAAGAGAGAGAGAAAAAGAGAGAGAGAGAGAGAGAGAGAGAGAGAGAGAGAGAGAGAGAGGATTAAAATCACATTAAAAACACCAACACAGGCTGCTGGGGATGGGAGTCAGTGGTAGAGTGTTTGCCAAGCATGTGCAAAGGCCCGGGTTACATTCCCAGTATCACTATCACCATCACCACAAGTAAAACAAGTAATTACCCTACAGTAAAGAACATTGTGGAAAAGGCATAAAAACTCACACAATATTAAGTAGAAAAGAGTTTCATTAAAATTTTTTTGTGAGTATCAAAGTTTGTGTGTGAGATGAGAGGCATATAAAAATTTGTCTAATGAATAAACATTCTTTGGAACAAGAGGTATAAAAATAGTCAAAGATAAACTAAAATACTAGTCTTGAAATAAAACTATGAACTTGCAGGTCAAGTGTATACAATCTCCCAGAAAATACTGCTAAAAGCTCTAAGACAAGTCTGAATGAAATAATTGAACTGCAAAAATAGAAGATGCATCTGATCATGTTGGTAAAAAAATCAAAGTCAGAATGGAGGGGAAAGAAAGGTTGATCCAAACATCGCGGTCATGCTAGAAGACAGTTGGTTCCTTGCATTCAAGAAAAGACAGCTTCCAGGTTTTGCAGCCAACTGAGTATCTTCCAAATAAAAAGGCAATGGTGAGATTTTTCAAGTATGCAGAGCTCAGGAAATGTATTTCTCTTTCCAGAAAAAAGTCCAACTAACAAAATTTAAAGTTAAAAAGCCCAAAGAAAGGCAAAGATATGTTGAAAAATTGAAAAAGAAGATAGAAGAATGAATGGAGGGAGAAAGGAAGGAAGGAAAGAAGGAAGGAGAGGAGAGGAGAGTAATGGAGGGGCTGCCC